CTGAAGTGCCTTGTCTTCCACTATCTGTTACCCCTGCTTCTGTGGCCTCTGGTTGTATTAAGGATAAATCTGTATTTGAAGTCACTGCATGACTTTCTGTGTCTGAGATATTGACCTGGGATGTCACTTCTGTTATACCCTGAGAGACTGACATACTATTCATGGCCAAACTTTGTTGTTGCCCAGCAGGAGTTGCCAATGATGTTTTCTTCTGTGGTTCAGAAGGAGTGTGGCTCAGGATTGTTAATGTCATCATGTCTGTCACACTAGATGTTAAGTTTGTATTTCGAGCACCTGAACTGGCTTCTTTTTCAGGGCTGTTAATCCAAGATATTGTTGTATTTGGTAGTCTTGGGGGAAAAGTTAGAGTTGGAGTTGTTGCACGACTCTCTCTACCTTTGGTGGTGACCAGTGATGTAGTCTTTTCTGTTATATCTGGAGAGACAGCCAGAGTAGATATGGTTGAATTGGGCTCTTTTCCAGCATGAGTTACCAATGAACCTATAGTCTGTGACTTCAGAGTTTGGTTCACAGATTTTGAGGTCAGTATCTCTAGAACATTGGGTGAGATGATTGTAGTTAGCACCCTTGCAGTGGCTTCTGTTTCAGGATTCATGATCCATGAGGTTGTGGTCTCTGGTTGACCTGAAGAAATAGTCTGATTTCTTTTATGGCTGCCTGTCTCAGAGCTAGTGAATAGTGGCCTTATCATTTCTGTTACACCTGGAGAGACAGCAGTAGTAGACATGGGTGAACTAATCTTTTCCCCTGCTTGAAAAGTCAGAGACATCTTGGTATGTGGTTCAGAAGGTTGAAGAGTCAGAATTGGTTTGGATGTCTCTGACCTGTGACCTTCTAAGGTTATCACATCTGGAATATTAGATGAGATAACTATTGTTGGAGTACTTGGAGCAGATGATCCGGCTTCCTGTTCACCTGTGGTGACTGTTGAGGGAGTGCTATGAGGTTCAATATGGGAAAAACTTGTGTTCGTCCTGGGAACCTTTGTGCTGGTCTCTTCAGGACTGATAACGAATGGGGCTGATGTGCCTGCTTCATCTGGTGAAGTAGTAAGGGTTGTAACAAAAGAACTATCTTCTGACATTTTAGAAAGTGTTACTTGTGATGCTGTTTTCTCCAGTATTTGTGAATAACTTGTGATTTGTGGGGAAATTGTACTGGAGTACATCTCAGAACTAGGGACTAGTGAAGTCACTATCCCAGGTATACCAGAGGAAGCTGTCACAGTTGGAAGGGATGAAGTTTTTTGTACCACAGTATAAGTGGACATTGAGACTCCTGTCTCTGGTTTATCAGAAGAAAGTGTCAAAACTGGAATATTGGTGCTGGTGACTGTCCTAAAAGTAGTGACAGGTGAACTCAGTACTTCTGATACATTAGATGAAAAAGCAGAAGTTGAAGAATCTGATCTGGCTTCTGTCTCAGAACTGGTGGCCATTGAGGGTAAACCAGCTGATGCAGTGTGGGAAACATCTGGAGTTGTCATGAGGCCTGTTAGGTTAGTCTCTGAAGAATGAGTATTCCATGATTTTGTTTCACCTGTCCCACCAGGTAAAGTAGATACAGTCAAAACATCTGAAGTACCTTCTCTGCCAGAGTGGGTGACCCATGAGGTTATAGTGTCTGGATCAGCTGGGGAAGCAGTTTGAATTGGAGGCATTGCATGTGTCTCTGCCCCAGAACTAGAGACCGGTGATGTCATCACTTCTGTTACAGCTAGAGAGACAGCTGCAGTAGAAATGGCTGACCTGGACTCTTCCCCTGCATTGGTTGCCAGGGAAACTACGGTCTGTGGTTCAGAAGAATGGAGCATCAGAATTGGTTTAGTTGTTTTTGAATCCGTACCAAAACTAGGGACCTGCGAAGTCACCATATCTGGGACAACAAGTAAGATAGTTGTGGTTAGAACAGATGAACTGGTTTCTGGACCAATAATTGTGGATGTGGGAGGCGTTGTGTCTAAATCCATATGGGAAAAACTTGGCCTTGTTGCTTCATCTGGCTCAGTGGGGGTCCTAGTCCCAGATGGAATCTTAGGACTAGCTTTATCCCCAGGATGGCTGACTTCTGAAGCGGTGGTCTCCGGCTGACTTGAGAAAGCAATCTGAGTTGGAAATAGACTTGTTTCTAATTTACTGCTAGTGGTGAGTGACATCATCTCTGGAACATCAGGGGAGACGGTCAGAGTTGCAATGGTTGAACTCACCTGTGACCTGCGGTGGCTGACCAAAGATACTGTGGTGTCAGACTCATCAGCAGAAACAGACTGAGCTGGAGTGCTTTCATTAGTTACTGTTGAAAAACTAGGAGCCAGTGAGGTCAGAACCCCTTTCACCTCAGGTGAAAAAATAGGAGACGAGCCAGCTAAATTTGTTTCTGTCCCAAGACTGGAAGCCACTGAGGGTGTAACATCTAACCCATGCTGAGAAAATTCTGGGGCTGTCTTGAGAACTGTAGGACTGATCGCTGCATGAGAAGTGACTAAGGAAATGGTTGTATCTGGCTCACCAGGAAAAACAGCCAAAGTTGGACTGGACTTGGCCCCCGGAATGGTGGTCTCTGGTTGACCTGGGGAAACAGCTGAAGCTGGAGATGGACTGCTTTTTGTTCCAGAACTGGTTTTTAGTGAGGCCAACATTCCTGGTAGAGTAGGGGAGTAAGATGGAACTGTAATAGCTGAAATTATCTGGGCTCCAGCATTGGTAGTAAATGAGTCTGTTGTCTCTGGTTTAGAAAAAGAAATAGACAAAGATGGAATACTTGTACTGGTCACTGCTCTAGAACTAGTGGCCAGTGAGGTCATTGTATGGGGTACACCGGGTGAAGTCACTGTAGTGGGAAGGGCAGAGCTGGCTTCTTTCCCAGCACTTGTGGTTGTTGACAGTGTCAAATCTGATCCACCGTGGGAAAATGTTAGGTCTGTCTTAGGAAGAGTAACGTTTGTCTCTGTAAAATGGGTAATCCCTGATGTTGTAATTTGCTCAGTAGAGGATATACTCTCCACAGTGGAAAAATTTGAGGTGCCTTCTGTCCCAGTCTGGGCGAGCCAAGAGGTTGTATTAAACAGTTGATCTGGAAAAGCAGTCAGGGTTGAAGTAGTTGGCTCTATGATCTTTCCTGCTACAGCAGCTGAATTACTTGTATTTAGAATAGCTGTAGTTCCCCATGCTTTGGGATCAGTGACAAGTGTGACAGTGGACTCTGGTTCACCAGCAGGAGTCACAGTTGACGTACTATTTTTTTTCTGTGTCTGAGACCTAACGACCAGTGAGGTTGCCAATCCTGCTCTAACAGGTGATGCAGTAGTGGTTGGAACGGATAACATGACTTCTGTATCCACTGAGAGTGTGGTAGTATCAGATTCACCAGAGGAAATGTCAAGAATATTTTCAGAAGCAAGGATTCTGCTCTGTGTAAGATGTGTGTCCCTTGGGAATATTGTATGTGACTCACTAGGCGCAACTGTGAGACTTCGGAAGGCTGGCTTGGTCTCTGCTCCAGTACTAATATCCAATGGGGCTGCCATTCCTGATGTGTCAGTGGGGAAAGTGCTGGCAGCAGAATAACTCACCTCTGTTCCAGGATGGGTGACCCCAGAAGCTATTGTCTTTGGTTCACTCGGGGAATCAGTAAGAGTTGGAATAAACATACCAGTGCTTTCTTCAGGCTTGCTAATCAGTGAGGTCGGCAAATCTGGTACTGTAGAGAAAACAGTTAACTGTGGAATAGCTGAACTGACTTCTTCTCTGGGAATGGTGGCTGTGGACACCGTAGAATCTGATTCACCTTGAGAAGCACTCAGCATCATCTTGGCAGCAGCTGAAGTAATCTCCAAAGGATAGGTGACCCATGGGACTGTGCCAGAGTCACCAGAAGAGCCAGTTAAGGTACGACTATCTTGGCTGGTCTCTGTCCTAAGACTGGGGCTCTTCGAGGCTGTGCTCTCTGGTTCTCTACTGTAAGAAGATGGTCTTGTCCTGAGGACCGTGCTGGGCTTTTCCCTAGAGCCTGTAGAAAGTGATGCTGTCATCCCTAGGACATTGCGGGAGGCGTCTGAGGCTGTGATAATCATCTCTGTTGTGTTTATGTCGCCTGTTGTCTTTGGTGTCCAGAGGCGAGTCAGGGGTCTTGAAATTGTAGAGATTTTGGTGGTTGAAGTGGCAATGGGTGTAGTCTTCAGAGCTGCATCAGTGGTCTCCGCTTTCACCGCCCCTTCTGTGGATAGTTCTGTAAGTTGAGACATGCAACACAAATTGTAAAAATGTTTGCACTTTCTCAATAGACAATTCATATTTTTTTGACTGTACATGATAAAGGGAGAGAAGTATCTATGACAGTGCTGCGTTTTTGGGGTGGGCGGCACGATCTGGGAAGGGAAAAGGTACTGTGAATTTTGCTATATTGTTTATCTGTTTCCCTGACTCCTTTTTTATTTTCTGGTGTGTGTGTGTGTGTGTGTGTGTGTGTGTCTGTGTCTGTGTCTGTGTGTGTGTGTGTGTGCATGTGCATGTCTGTGTGTGTGTAAGAGTAAGAGAGACAGAGACAGGAGAGAAACAGAGGGACAGGGTTTTCTGTTTCCTGGCCAGTCTTAAACTTACTACATCGCTGATGGTATTCTGAGATTATAGATATGCATTACCACATTTAGTTTATATGGTGCCAATGACAGAAACTCAGGGCTTTGTGAATTCTAGGCAAGCACTCTACCAATGGAACTATAACTTTAGTCCTCCTGGATCCTTTTGAGCTGTAACTCCTTCATAAATTTGTGACCACACACATCCAATCCTTATCCCTTTCTATTTTCCACATTACTCAGGTTAAGATTTCTGTCCTCCTGACCTACCTATCTCTCATCAGGTCCCACAAATTCTGATCATTTTCATGGGCAAGTTTAAATCCACCTTACTGAAAATTCATGATATTTCATTTTCTCCATTTCTTACCACAATGTCTGAACTTCAGTTTTCATCTTCAGATTTCCTGGCTGTTGAAAACTATTAACGTTTCACTGCTTGACACATGATAGGTGTTCAACTTAAAGTATTGGGTGAATGAATGAATAAATGAGGTCCTGAAAGAATGGTGCATAAGAATGTACCTCTTTGCTTTGAGAGAGGTGATATGTGTCTTAGTTTGAAAGTTTGGGCTTCATAATGTGATATCCCTGTGCTGACTTTGTCATTTTTACTAGAGATGTGGGTGTAAAGGAGCATTTTTGGCTTTGTGCAAACCAAGGTTTACTAGCACTCTGTGATTGCAAAATCTTTTTTCTCTGGAAGTCATTTAACATGCCATGGTATTGTTTTATGTATACATTTAAGAGTGTACATGGGCTAGGCATAGAGTTCATTGAATAGAACATTTACCTAGCATTCATGGAGTAAATCCTTAGAACTCTACTCTCTGAGTATGGTGGTGCATACCTGTAAATACTGTGACCAAAACTGGAATCTGCACACTAAGGTACCTTTAACTGACTTCTTTTCCATCTGTTTTTTGTCTTTACACGGCTCTATGTCTTAGATATAACAACTGTTTTTTAGGAAACCCACCTAAGATGCTTCAGCCACAGGATAAATCAATAGCTTTGACTTGGTGGTGACTTTGTCCAAAGCCTAGATCTTCAAAGTAGCTTATTAAAACCAAGGTTCCCACTATGACTATGGGGAAAATGTCCAACATTGTTAGCCACTTTACATAGATACAAAACTACACCAAGACTCACTTTCATCATAGTCAAAATGACATTTAAGTACAAATTAGAAAATGAGTGCTTAAAAATATTGGAAAAGAATCAACATTATACACTGTTGGTGGGAATATAACTCTATCCACTTCAGAGAAAAACAGAAAACAGGAAAGATGGCTCTATGACGTGGAGTACTTTCTGCCCATGCAGAAGACCCGCTTTCCTTCATATTATCTACTTAGTGACTTATAACACCCATGACTCCAGTTCCAGGGATCTGATGCCTGTTTTTACTTTCACAGGCTCCAGACATGCCTACAATCCCTCAGTGAGGAGCTGGAGCATGGCTCTGTGGTAGAACCTCTGCCTAGAACCTTCCAGTGAGAAACCTGGGAATGTGGCTCAGAAGTGCAGTTCTTGGCTTAGAATCTAGTGAGGAGCCAAAGGCGGCAAGAGTATGCTTGAGTAGCATGTACCAGCTGCTGTGGCTTACCACAAGCATTCTCCACACACAAAGTTGCATTATAATTATTGTGTTCCTTTGATGTCATTCTATGCATTCTCAGTTTATACCAATGCCTCCAACGTATATATTTTATTTCATTAGCAAATAAGAGTGGGCATGGGGGAATGTATCTGAAATCTTAGTATTTAGGAGACTATGACAGTAAAATTGTGAGTCAAAGGCCAGCTTGGGTTACAAGGAAAGGTTTTAGAGAGAGAATGGGGGAGAGAGAGATTAATGTTTGGTATCTGGAGCAAATCTTGTTCAGCATATTATGAGAATACTATTATACACTGTGTTCTACATAGTAACCATTAGATAAAGATCCAGCTCAGAGAAGCATTCATGAAAACCATGTTCTAGTGATATTTCATTTGAAATAAAGCTTGCCTGGAGTTCAGAGAGCAAAACGGCCACACTGATTAGCCTTATAGACCAGACAGTGGTGGCACACATCTTTAATCCCAGGAGTCATGCCAGTTTGCCATAGAAACTGGGCAGTAGTAGTGCATGCCTTTAATCCCAGTACTAGAGAGGAGAATATAAGAAGGGAGGAGACAGCTCTCACACACAGACTAATTCTGAGACTTTTGGAGACAGAATTGCCATTTCAGACTAAGGTAGAGATAAGAGTCAGTGACTAGCTATTTTGCTTTTCTGACCTTCAGGTTGAAACCCAACTTCTTTCTCTGGATTTTTATTAATCGTGCTACACCACGTAGTATTCTCTTTAAGGAAATCAAGAGATTTGGTGCTCTAGAACAGGAAATAAGGCAGGGGTATTATTTCTACTTTCTAGGGAGTAAGCACAGTGGTACTTACCTTTAGGGCTAGCAGGTGATATAGAAGCCAAGGGGCTCTTTCCTAGGCCTGGGGTGTCTCCATGGGCAGCTCCATTGGGGGTCTCCGTCAGGGACTGCATGCTATCTTCTGTTTCTGCAGGTGAGAGTTAGGACGAAAATCAATAAGCAGCTCTCCTAGAAAGACCGTATTGTCACTTCATCCAGTATATGTTATTCTTTTTCTAGAGTGTGTGGCAGTGACCTCAAGCACAGTTATACAGGATGAGTCCCCACATCCATCACCTTCCTATAAATTTATCAGTTTGTCCATACATCTATGTGCAGATCTGACAGCCTTTCCTTTTTTATATCCTTTGCTTTCTACTATCAATCTTTATTTATTTCTCTCTCATCCCCCTTCTCCTTCCTTCTCTCATATCCTTTCTTCTTTTCTTTATTTCTACCTCCCTCCTTCCTACCCTCTCTCTTTCCCCCTGTCTTCTCTCTCTCTCTCTCTCTCTCTCTCTTTCTCTCTCTCTCTCTCTCTCTCTCTCTCTCTCTCTCTCTCTCTCTCTCTCTCTCCACAGAGTCTCATATAGCCCAGACAGGCTTCAAACTTGATACATAGCTGAAAATGACCTTGAATTTCTATTTCTCCTGTCTCCAAGCTCCTGTGTACTTGGAACACAGGCATATACCACCATGCCTACTTTATGCAATGCTGAGAGGCAACCAAGAGCTTTGTGCACTCTAAGCAGCACTTTATCAATAAATCACATCCCACCTTCTACTTTCTGCCTGCCCTTCTTTTCTTCCATATTTACTTAAATGTGCCATTATCTTTTTATTTGATTTGACTTCAGAGTACGAATGAAATATAAATAAGAACCAAAGTAAAGTATAGTGTTATGGACGTGAAATCCAAGTACTTGCGTGCTGAGGAAGAGGAATCATAAGTTTGAGGCCCACTTGGTGATATACAAAAACAATGTACAGAGAAAGTGAAGCAATGATTTCAAATGTCTACTGTTCATGTGACTTGTTTAAGCTATCTGTGTAGGGTCTCAAACACATTTCTTCTGGGGACTGCCTGTCTACCGTTCGTGTGACTTTTTTAAGCTATCTGTGTAGGGGCTCAAATACATTTCTTCTGGGGACTGCCTAAGGAAGATTGTGGTGGTATTAGAGGACATTCTTTGAGCTGTGTCACAAATAAAATCAATTTAATTATCAAATTTAATTCTTTCACATCATTAGAATCCCTAAAAGGTCTTTTCCTGTATTTAGTGCTTCCTGGGTCCCTCCCACATCATCAGATACTTTAATCCTTCAGTTTTCATGATAACATGTTTTCTTTTTTCTTTCTAGTAATATGTTGAACTCCAAGGCAGAAACTCTCCGTTGCGTCAAGCCTAGTGGTACTATAATGCCTATAGTTACTGCTGTGTGGGAGGCTAGGGCAAGACTTCCAAATTCAAGGTCAGCATAATTACAGGGTTAATTCCAGGCTAGCATGGTCCTCCATATGCCACATACATACATAAAACAAGGGCTGCTTAGGAATAAAGCATATGTGTCAATTCTTATGGAATAACCTCCCAAAACAAATCAAAACAAAATCACTTCCTTTTATCTACATGTTATTTTGGCTAAATTCTAGACCACCATATATCACTGATACGTTCTCTTAGGATCCCGACGCTGCCCAAATACCTCTCGCTTTATGGCCGCTTAGCCTTTTTGTAGAACTTGAAAGAGTTTACAATTGCTCTATAAATCTTGTCTTCCTGTAGCCACTGTAATGCCAGAATCTCTTGTATTTTCTTCTAGTTTTTTAACTACTCCTGCTAAAATTAAAGATTAGGTACAAACATTCCTACTGCAGAATAGTTTGAATTATTTTTTGTTTGGGGGCTCCTGGGGTTCAAACCAAGAACATTATGCTATTTTCCTATCTCTTTGATTTTTCGGACAGAGCCTCACTGTATAACTCTGATTCTCTTTGAACATAAGGTTTTTATGTCTCAGCTTTCCACATGCTGGGGTGACAAGCATGCACCAAGCACACCTGCCTAAGTTCTTAGTTTAGTTCTGTCACCTATTAGTTTTATGACAGTGAGACAGTTATTTTATATTTTCTATGTATCTTGACTTTATTACCGACAAAATAGTATAAAAATGACTATTTAAAACCTTTGTGAAACCGTGTTGACATAGATGATAGATGTGCTGTAAAAACTCAAGTCCAAACAGATTAAAGACCTCAATATAAATCCTACCACACTGAACCTGATAGAAGAGAAAGTGGGAAGTAGACTTTAATGCATGGGCACAGGAGACCACTTCCTAAATATAATACCAGTAGCACAGACACTGAGAATAACGATAAAGAAATGGGACCTCCTCCTCCTGAAACTGTGAAGCTTCTGTAAAGCAAAGGCCACAGTCAATAAGATACAAAGGCAGCTTATTGAATAGGAAGTTCTTTACCAAACCTATATCACACAGAGCTTATTGAATAGGAAGGCAGCTTATTGAATAGGAAGTTCTTTACCAAACCTATATCACACTGATCTTCAAAATATATAAGGAACTCAAGAAATTAAACATCAAAATTCCAAATAATCCAATTAAAAAGTGGGATACTGATATAAACAGAGAATTCTCAACAAAAGAATCTCAAATGGCCAATAGACACTTAAGAAAATGTTCAACATCCTTAGCCATGAGGGTGATCCAAATCAAAATGACTCTAAGATACATTCTAAGATACAAAAGTCAGAATGGCTAAGAACAAAAACACCAATGATAGCTTATGCTAGAGAGGATATGGAGTATAGGGAACACTCTCCATTGCTGTTGGGAATGCAAACTTATACAAGTGCTCTGGAAATCATTATGGTGGTTTCTCAGAAAACTGGAAATCAACCTACCTCAGGACCCAGCAGTGCCACTCTTGGGCATATACCCAAAGGATGCTCAATCATACTACTAGGACATTTGCTCAACTATGTTCATAGCAGCATTATTTGTGATAGACAAAATCTGAAAACAACCTAGATGCCCTTCAACCAAAGAATGGATAAAGAAAATGTGGTACATTTATGTATTTACATTTACATATTTACATTTACACATTTACAGTGGTAAAAAAATGACATTTTGAAACTTGCATGCAAATAGATGGAACTAGGAAAAAAAAACATCCTGAGTGAGGTAACCCAGGCTCCAAAAGATGAGCATGGTACGTATGCACTTACTTATAAATGGATACTAGCTGTAAAGCAAAGGATAAAGAGCCACAACCCTAGAGAAGCTAAGTAACAAGGTGAACCCTAAGAAAAACATATATAGAGTCACCTGGAAAGGGAAAATAGACAAGATCTCCTGAAAAAATTGGAAGCATGGGGATGAGGGGGAGAATGGAGGGCAGACGGGGAAGAGGAGGGGAGAATGGGAAGGTGGGGAGAAGTTGAAGGAACGGAATAGTCGAGATGGAGGAAGGACAGAGATGAGAGCAAGGAAAAAGATATTCTTATTGAGGGAACCATTACAGGGCTAGCAAGAAACCTGGTACTGGAGAAATTCCCAAGGATGACCCCAGATAAGACCCTAAGCAATAGAGGAGTGGGTGCCCAAAATGACCTTGCCCTGTAATCAGATTGATGACTTTCTAAAATATCATCATAGAACCTTCATCTAGCAACTGATGGAAACAGAGGCAGAGTCCCAGAGCAGAGCAGTGAGCTGAGCTCCCAAGTCCAGTTGAAGAGTGGGAGGAGTGAAAATATGAGCAAAGAGGTCAAGACCATGATGGGTTCACCCACTGAAACAGTCTACCTGAGCTAATGAGAGCTCACCAGCTCTAGCCAGACAGGAAAAGAAACAGCATAGGACAAAATGATATCCTCTGAATGTGGGTGACAGTTGTATGAGACTGGGGGGCAGCTGGCTGTGGCACCAGGATTTATCTCTACTGCTTGTACTAGAGTTTTGAGAATACATTCTCTTTGGATGGATAGCTTTTTCAGTCTTGATATAGTAGGAAGGGCCTTGGACTTACCCCAAAGCAATGTGCCTTACCCCTTCTGAGGAGTGAATGGAGAGGTGGGTTAGAGGAGAAGGTGGAGTGAATGGGAGGAGGAGAGGGAATGGGAACTGGGATTGGTATGTAAAATGAAAAAAGATGGTTTTTTTCTTTCTAAAAAAATTAAAAAAGAAATATGTGCTGTATAAACTCAATTGTCATTATTACCACTACTAATTATGATTAATAACCATGTTAAATATTTAATACATTGTAGTAATTGCTCATTGACTTGCTTGTTTTTTCTATGTTTTGCATATGCCTAGCCCAGTTATTATAAGTGATTGGTGTAAGTAGTTCAACCAAAGTTTGCTAAATAAATTTATAGTATGGTATTAGAGGGTATAAGTCATCTATATAGCATTTATTTCACATGTGCAAGGTACTAAGTGTCGTGTACAATAACACACAAAACAGGGTTCATGCTTTTAAACAGTTGAATGAACTTGAAGATGTACAGTATATAAAATAGAGTTTAGCTCAGCTGTAATTTGTAGGAACTAGTATAAGCATATTAGTAATAGGCAGACAGAAAAATAAATATCCTAGATTTTCTGTCATGTGGAGACAAACATACAAAAACCCTAAAAGCATAAAACTGACTACAAAGGAAGTTGAAGGAATATGGAAGGTAGAGAAGAAAGTGAGAAAAGTTCATAGTAGGAAGTGGGAATGAGAGCATTGTTTAGCATGTATGAGCATATCAGAATGAAATTCACCAATTTGTACAATTTATATGATTTAACAATGCTAATTTCAGGCCTGATAGATAATGTGACTGTGATAATTAACCACTAATTTTCCTTCTTCCTCCTAGGAAGGGGCTCTTGCCTATGATCCTCCTTAGTCTGTGAAAGGAAATGTGGGGACAGCAGGTTCCTACTTCTCAAGCTGGTTGAATGTGTAGGAACTTGAAAAGCACTGCCACCCTTCCCAAGTCAGAACTCTCGGCCATTACGTTTCTCAAGAATGGTGATAAATATGTCTTGCTGGAATAAGTTCTAGGCTTCAAGGTTCTAAACATAACCATAGACTCTCGAGAGATGCCATTCATTATAACAACACTGTTATCGTCTGTTTGTAAATTACCTGAAGGAGTAGTCTTGTGCAGAGATGGGCTGGCTGTAAAGTCAGTGCTAGTGGAAACAGGAAAGGGCAGTGATGTAGAAGTTGAAGAAGGTAATTCTTTTACAGTGGTGGCCACCAAAACATCACTATGGCTTGACTTTGTTATTGAATGAGGACTGTTAGAAGTCATAAGTGAGCTGCCTTTTGGAATGCTGGTTGTGGGAAATGAAGCCATATCTTCTGCTGCAGAGAGAGTTGTTTCATCTGAAGTCATCTCATCTGCAGGCAGCATGTCAGTTCTTGGAACATGAGTACTTTCTAGTGAGGGCACAGTAAAACTGGATTCTGGGAGGGATGTTACCCCAGCAGACTCAGTAATAGATGAAGAATATAAGACTGTTTGTTCTGGAACTTCAGTAGACTGTGAAGATTGAGTCTGATATGGAGTTGATATCAGACTAGCAGAAGCGACAGCAGTCTCAGAACTTGGCAAAATGAGAGTGGACACAGGAGAGGAATGCATGCTTGTTTGTAGAGATATGCTAGTATCTCTCAATCCAGAAGTCACATGGAAAACTTGTTGAGTATCAGATCTTATAGTCTCTAAATAGTCAGGCAATGATGTGGACATAGAAGTCACCCATGTGGAGGAAGAGGTACCAACTGTATAGGCATCCCTGGATGATTCCTGGCGTATAGGTACAGAAGAACTTAACTCAGGCCCTGTACTGATGGCCTCCATGCTGGTTACTTTGAATTTTGAGGAAGAATGAAAATTTTCTCTATCAGTAGTAACTTCAGGAAAGCCCAATATTTCAAGTAAAGTGCTGCTTAAATTTGGAGGTGAACCTGGTCCAGGTCCAGTTTTCAAGCTTCTGATCAATGTGTCTGTTGTCTTAGGAAACTCAGAGGTGTGGAATGAAGTCTTGGGAAAAGAGGTAGAGCTTGAACTCAGTCGTGCTAAAGAGGAAGCAGAAGAAGGTGGAGTCTTTGTTAGTAATGACAAAAGGGAAGAGGCAGTACCATCAGGGATAAGAGTCTTAGATGACACAGTGTTTTGGAACTGAGGTCCAGGAGTGGTTATGTCCACACTGGTTGCTTCAGTTCTGTTCAAAATGTAAGATGCTTGTGAGGTTCTGGTGTCCTTTGAGCTGACTAACTCGCTGTTTCTCCAGCTTGGAAATGGTGTTGTAAAAGAATCTAAGTTTGAGTCCAATTCCTTTCTAGTTCTTTCCCCAGAAGAGAATGTGGGGACCCCAGAAGCAGAAGAGGTGAGACCTTGTCCTTCTGATGACGACGTAGAAAGAAAAGGTGATGTTGTCAGAGGTATTTCTACAGACTTCACAGAGGAGATTGCTTCATGGACTAGGGAGTCTGTCCATGACAGTGGCTCGGAACTGCTGGCATGAGTCATGGAGTCTGGGTGCAGAACTGTCTGAGTTACAGTAGAGAGGGTCCCCGTATCAGCAGTAGTTCCTGACGTGCTCCAAAGAGCGGTGACCTTGGATGATTCTGCAGCATTAATTACTTGACTGTGGTCAATGTTTGGGAAGGAAAGAGTAGAGATGTTGGAAGTATTTCCCATTGAGATGTCTGCTGTCTTTGTGAAGGATCCAGAGCTTGAAATAGATATCCTACCTGCTGAGTTAACCTCTGTTCTTGAAAGCCCAGTGGAAGTCCTAGTGGGCTCTGTGAAAAGATCAGAGCTACGTTTTGTCATCAAGTTAGTATCTTCAGGCATGGTGATTTCCTGTTCTATTGAAGTTAGGGGGAAAGTTTTCTGCGCTTCTGTATGTGCAGGTTTAGATATAGGCATTGATGTGGAAAGTGCTGTGTGCCAATTGCTTTGTGGGGTCATCATTACAGTTGTTATTCTTGATGGGATAGAATCAACTAGGACAGTGCCTTGGGTATGTGCTCCAGGACTATTGGTTTCTATTCTGTTTCTTTGGTTTGTTGAGGGAATGTGACCTGCTGTGAGGTTTCTTATGTCATATGAAGGACTTGGAATTGATAGCCCTGTGGTATCTAGGCCTTGGATTGAAGTGCTCCCAGAATGTACATTTTCATCTTTTCCAATTGAGGTTGTTTCTTGAATAGAAGTTACAAATGCAGACACAGAGTCAAGGGAAGAGTCGTTTTGTACTTGTGAAGTAGAAGTAACAGGTGGTGTGGTTTTCTCAGTCACAGTTGACGTTGAATCTGAAGAGATGTGCTTTTCTTTGAGTAAAGACTGTTTCTCAGAACCCCTGGATTCAGATATCATTGCTAAATATGGAGATGTCTGGGGCTCAGGTGAAGAAAACTCTGCCACAGAAACAGTGGTTGCAGTGTCCCTAGACAGGGCATCATATAATAAAGACCCAGAATTATCTGCCTCCAAGATGGAGGTTAACTCTATGTGTTTTTTTCTGCTAGGATAGGTAGTGTGGCTGAGAATACTTCCAGTGGTGATATCTTCTGATGCTGAGAAATACGGAGGGATTCTCGTGGAGAGTCTGCCAGCTGTAAAGGACTCTGAAATGGAGAGATCAGTAGACATGCTAGGGGGCAACTGAGAAGAAACAGTATCGTGTGTTGTGGCAATTCTGGTCTCTTCAAGAGTGGTAGTTTGTGGAAGTGATTGGCTTAGGGAAGAAGTTGTGTGAGCCTCTGAAAATGCTGCCTCTGAAATAGAAACTGTAGTACCCACCAGTGGGTGCTGGAGCATGGTTGAAAATGCAGTTTTAGGTGAAACTGGTGCAGGACTGGCAGTGGGTTTGGATTGGGGTGTGGAACTACTGGGTTTCACCGAGGAAGCAGAGCTCGCCTCTGAGAATTTGGTGACCTGTGATGTCTCTGGGCTTCTTGAATGTGCACTACTGCTCCAATTTGGAAATGAAGTAGACAGATCATGTATATCCAATCCAGTTGTGATTGCCTCCTTAGAAGGTGTGAAAGCAGAGATCACAGAACTAGGAGATGGGGTGCTGTGTTCTTCTATGGAGGTAACAGAGGAAGCTAAGGTAGGCCCATCAGGATATCCTGGAGAATCGGCAGGTTGGCTTCTTTTCAGAATTGAAAAAGTTGCAGTTGGTTGAACTTCATGACTTTGACTTAGAAATGTGGGTGTCGCTGTGACTAGGGGAACTAGAGTTAAACTATCGAGACCATCAGACACTGAAGACACAGGTGATGTTTCCAGGGACAGGCCCATATTTGATGTCACTTCAGAATCCCCAACCTGGCTGGTAGATATTTCTTCTGATCCTGTGATGCTAAAGTCAGAAAGTTTGGAGACAACCCTACTGGACATATCTTCTGATGTAAACTTGGTATCTTCTGATGTAAACTGTTGAAGCATTGGAAGTATCGTGCTATCAGGTGACACAGATACTGTTCTGGATACAGGATGAGAAGAACTGTAAGGCACTTCAGAATGACTATTAATAAAATCCGTGCTTGAGAACACCTTCTCAGATATATTTACTGGTGTCGATATAGTCAAGAGGATAAATGTCTGTGTCCCAATCTTTTCACGGTCAATATCATTTGAACTAGGTGAAAGAGTGGATTCTTGAGTGGTTGGAAGGGTAGTGGGAAAAGCTTTATTTTCAGATGACATTGATGTAGGCATGATAGTGTATTTGAATTGGGGTACAGAACTGCCGGTTTCCACATTGGACGCTGGTGTGATCGAAGAAAATTTATTCATCGGTAAAGTTTGAGAAGCATGTGCAGTGTTAGAGCTTGACTGAGAGATGGTACTCCAGTTTGAAACGTAAGTAGTCTCAGGATCTGAACTTGTGTGCGAAGCTGTGGGAAGCAGATCCTTGGTAACTGTGAAAATAGAGGCAACAGAATCAGGGGACTGACTGTGTCTGTCTGGCAAGGAAGTACCAGGGATCAGTGAAAGCGAGTCTGGAGACAAGGATCCTTCCTCAGGAGCACCTGTCCATGATGCTGAGACAGGATTGTTGAAAGGAGCAATGGATTCTGAATGTGGAAGTGTATGCATCCCACTGGAGTGGGTGTCCTTGACTGAGGTAGTGCTGGATGTGTCTGGGTAGGTCAAAATGTCTTCCATAACTGGAGAATGTCCCATGGATCTGCTTGTCATCTCTTTTGATTCTGCATTGCTGGTAGAGGTAGGGAGACTGGTGGAGATTCCAGTGGGCGCATCTTCTGAGGTAGACTGATGGGGGGCTGACAGGAACGCGCTGTCAGCAGACAGGGCTCCTGTCTTAGACTCAAAAAAAGAAGGGCTAGTGTGCAATTCGCTACGGTTAGGATTGTGCTCTATGGTTGAATTTCTGTCTTCAGATATACCGACGTCTGTCTGTGCTGCCTTTGGGGAGGAAGCTGTGCCTGTCTGAATCTCTGTGCTTCCAGATGAGATAGGCTGTGAAGGTGGAAGTCTGGTATGTTCCATGGAGGGCATAATGGTTGTGAAAGATTCCTTTTCCCATGGAGCGGATGTAGGTGTGATGGTGTGTTTGGCATGACGTGTGTAAGTCTCATTTTCCATGCTGTTCTCTTGTGTGAGTGAGGAAACAGAGGTTGTCTGTAGGGCTTTGGAGAGTTGGACACTGTTGGGGCTTAGTGCTGAAACAGATGCTGGTCCTGAGGTTGTATATAATCTGGTAGGGGTTGGGTCCTTAGCAGCTGTGAAGAGAGAGGTGACAGAAAGAGGAGAGCTGGTACTGTGTCTGTCTGCAGTGGCAGCAACTGGAGAGTGTGAGGGTGCCTCAGATGTGGGTCTTGTTGAACTGGCAGACATGGACTCTTCCCAAGTTGAGTGAGTCTGTGATGGGAATGGAGGATTGACAGAATGAAGCCTGGACTCTGAAAGTGGAAATGTCCGTGTCCCACTGTGCTGGGTCTCCATGTTTGAAGCAGGGGTTGATGTGTCTTGGGAAGTCACCATGTTAGATGTCACCACAGAATGTCCCCTGTGACTGGCTGTTGTCTCTTCTGATTCTGTGGTGGTTATAGATCCGGGGAACCCGATGGAGATTCCAAAGGAAGTATCTTTTGATGTTGACTGATGTAGCATTGAGAGGGATGTGCTGTGCTCAAACAAAGCTGCTGTCTGGGACTCAGGAAGAGATGGAGCAGTGAGCACATCAGTCTCACTAGTATTGTGTTCTTTGGTTGCATGTGTGTCTGCAGGTTTACTGTCATTTTTCCATGCTAAGATCAAGGTGGAATCTGTCTGTCTTCCAATCTCTGCGGTTGCAAAGGAAATTGGTTGTGGAGATGGAACTGTGGTACCTTCTGTTTTGGTCATAAATATTGTGAAATATTCATTTCCAGATGAGATTGGTGTAGCTATGGTGTATTTGAGCTGGGATGTTGAATTCCTATTTTTCTCATGGTTTCCTTTTCTGACTGTGGAAACAGTGGTCATCTGTGAGACACTGGATAATTGTGCATTGTTGAAGCTTGTCTGAGGACTGCTACTCAAACTCGGAATTGAAGAAATCCCAGGTCCTGAGCTTATGGACAAATCTGTTGGGATTAAATTCTTAGAAATTTTGATGACAGAGGCCAGAGAACTAGTAGATAATATTTTGTGTCTGTCTGTCACGGAAGAACTAGCAGGTGAGTGTGACTCACGTGGCATTGTTATGGATTCTGTTGACATTGATTTTTCCCAAGGCATAGGTGTCAGTGTTACTGAAGCAATGTTGTTGGAAGGTGCTATGGATTCTGAGTGTGGAAATGCATGTACTCCACTGGAGTTAGTGTGTTTAACTGACACAAAAGTTGATGTGTCTTCAGAAGTCTTCACGTTTGATGCCAACACAGAATGTCCGGTGTGGCTATTTGCCAACATTTGTGACTTTGTAGTGAGGCTGGAACCAGGAGTCCTGATGGGGATTCCAATGGAAGTTTCTTCTGATGTGGACTCATGTAGCTTTGGAAGGGATATGTTCCCAGTAGACATGTCCCTTGTCCATGAGTCAAGAAGAGAAACATTTGTGGACACTTCAGTATGGTTAGGATCATACTTTGTGGTTGAATCCATTTGTTCAAGTGCTCTAGATTGTATCCAAGTGGTCTTCCAACCTTGCTTCGGACTGTGATGGGTAACAGGCACGGGTGAGTTTATAGAACCTGTAAAAGAGTGACTATGCCTTTGTGATGTGGAATTAACAGGTGATGGAGAGCTCATTCTGACTGTAGTTCCCCAGGAATGTGCAGAGCTGATTCCTTCCAGTGGTGAGAATTTTGCCTTGGAAGGGGTATCATAACTTGTGCTGAGAAGAGTGGATTTCTCCATCAATGGATAACTCTGAGAGACTGTAGAGTGCATTCCTGGCACTGAGGAAGTTTTTTGTGTTTCTTGGGAGGAAACCAAGTTTGAGGTCCCCACAAAATGTCCTGTCTGACTAGTGCCAATGACAGAGTTTGGGGGTCCAGTGGACATTTCACTATAGGTTTCTCCTGGCTTGGTTGACTGATGAGGGCTGGGATAGGAAATGCTGTCCATAGGTTCTGTTCTGGATACAAGGACAGAATTAGTGAAGGATGCTTCAGCAAGACTAGGAGTATGCTCTGTTGTCGAAATCATCTCAGGTATGTTAGTCTTCACCATAGTAACAGTCGTGGATGTGTCTTGTAGAAGGGTACTGTCTAACTCACTCACAGTATGTGTGTTAGTCTTTGTAGAATTAGATGTATTCGTCGAAGCAGAAACATAGCTCTTCCCTGTGGTTTTGGGTATCAACGTGGATAGTGTGTCTTTGGGTACAACTGATTCAAATGATATATGGGGAGCAGAGCTGGTGACTTCCATGCTGCTCACTGTTTTCTGTGAGATTCTTGTGCCTTTTAGAGAGGCCAAGTTTGAAGGAATGCTGCTTCTCCAATGTAAAGCTGAAGTGGTCACTGTTGTTGTGCTTGTGTCCAACATTCTCCTGCTTGTCTTGGGTGTTGTTTTGAGCCTTGTAGTCATAAATCCAGAACTACGTGGTTCTTGTAATGTTGATGCTACATGAGAAGGCAAGGTTGGTTTGGGTTTATTTGACACAGTAAGCTCTTGACAAATAATAGATAATTATAAATTTGTAATCTAATAATACTCTCAGGAATAGTCTTATATATGTTTTTACATACCTATAAGGTGATTAGAATAACCTTATAGTTGGTATATGCATTAATCATATCTCTTTACATTCATATAGTGGGAGAAATTTTATTCTGGACTTTATGTTGTTCTTGGATAAAACATTTCTCACTTATTCATATGTCAATACAATTGTATTAAAATAATCATTATATAAATTGTATTATTTCTCAGGTGAAGTTGGATAAAATATAGCCTCTAAATAAAACCTACAGTCTTACAACTATAAAAATAAGTCAGGTAGGTAAAAATACAGAGGATAAATGACTATGGAGTGTTCAGCTCTAAATTATCCTCCCTTTTTACAATACTCAGGGTGCCTCCTAGAAAAATAAGAACCAGATATACAAAACAATGTCTTCTGAACATACGGAAACATTGCTCTCATGAACTCAGAACTATTCTAATGGTTTATACAAGACCTATTCAATATTAACTCAATTAACATTCCAGCAGGGGTGGGGGAGCTAAAATGCTATTAACAATGGATTATGAATGGATAAGAGACTGCCAGTTCTCCTCAGAGATGTGATTCCCTGATAAACTGTCCATGTCCCAATGTATGGTTGGCTCTGCAGCCTTACACCTACAGCCATTACTGATTAGACTCAATGTTATTAAAAACAATGAGGAAGCACAAGAAAGAGCAGGAGAAGGAGAGGTTGGAGAGACGGCTCAACAGGTAAAGGTACCGGCTCCCATGTTTGGCAACCTGAGTTTGATTCCTGGAATGCACATGGTGGAAGGAAGAAACTGACTCCTGAAAATTATCCACTGACTGGCACATGGGCATTGGGACTCACACACACACACACACACACACACACACACACACACACACAAATAAATAAATGCAAATGTAATACAAAATTATTATTTGTTGAAGGAAAGGTCATAAAGTTGGGAGGGGAACATAATAGAAAATTCTGGAAAGAATTGGAGGTAGAAGTGAAGGATGAATATGATAAAGTATATTGCATACATGTATGAAATTCTCAAATAGTAAATACAGTTTTCAAAAATGAGCCAGTTTGAAGAAGTTATCCATTTGTAACAGGTTGAATCTACAATCGAAGGAATCCATAGTATGGTACACGAATGTCTGAAATTTTTATTAGACTTTGTTAGGATGTATATTTATGTAGTTAATTCTCCCACCAAAGAAAGAAAGAAGAAAGGAAGAAGAAAGAAAGAAAGAGAAAAGAGAAAAGCAGTCCCTACAAAACAAGGAGGACCTATTTGGATTTCAGTGACTATACCAAAAGCAGATAAGGTCATGTATACATCTGTAATCCTAGCACTACACAGACTGGGGAGACAAGCAAGTTCACTGGGTGACCGGCCGAGCTCAAGTTTCAGTAACAGACTCCATCTCATGGGAATAAGGTGGAAGCATCTTCCTCTGGTCAATTTGTGAGCCTGCATGGGAGTGTGCATCTGTAACACACATTCATGAACACCACATACACACACATAATATATGAGTAGATTGCCCACATATTCCTAAGGTACTATTTCCTGTACTGAAAGCTAGCACTTCTTTTGGAAGATGTATCTGTGAAAAATTTGAGATGTTCTAGTTTGCCATACTAACAGGTCAAACACTCCTTGTAAAAACACACTCACACTTTGGTCATAGGACATGAAGAAAACATAACAGCACTAAAAAGAGCTTTCTCCCTGTTAGCTCTGTGGGCTGATGGGAGAGAAAAGCCATTATCAAAAGTATTCAGATGTGAGCCATGTAGGCTGAAATAATAATTGGTCTGGCAAGATATGTTAATGTATTCCATAGTGGCATCAATGTTATCAGGATAACCAACCTTTTAAAATTGGATTTAAGACCCACTCCACAGAGGGAAACTCCTGCTTTGTCTTTTAAATTTAGTTAAGAAACCATAGCCAGGAAACTTATAGTCCTTAGGGCAGAACCTATTACTATTAGTTTGCTAAATAAGTATAGCATCAAACTTCTTTTTAAATATGTATGTAGTACAGCTCTCAGTCCTCACCTGGGAAGCTTCTTTGTGCTGATAACTTCTTTGTCATGATAGTTAATATAGAGACTCATAGCTGGCAAAATTGTAATGTGAGATTTTTTTTGTAGAGTTCTCAGTCATAAAAAGTACGCCTACATGAAACACACCATCACTTGAGAGCTCAAGAAATGTTGCAAAAGAAGGGAAAGAATGTAAGAAGCGGGGGTTGGGAAGGATCAAGGCGAAACAGTGCCTTCCGGACAAGACAAATCTGTGGCACAAATAAACTCCCAGCAGCTGTGGTTGCCTGCATGAAACAGAGACAGATAGGGCCTCTCAATAGTCCTTTGTGAACCTACGAGAGGCCCAAAGGTCCGACCATCCTTCAGTCTCTATGGGCAGTTAATGGTTACTGAGAAAGGTGCAAAGAGAGAGGTGAGAAACGTGGACATTTCTTTTAAAATCTCAGGGAAGCTAAGGACTAGATTAGTTTTAGGACACTCTGAACATTATAAAAAGATTTTTTGGCTTGTCTTCATAGATAGTCCTGCAGTTGAAGGAGCTGTAGCTTGCGTTGATAGCTAAGATAAAGAAACATAGCATTGTTTAGTGTGATTGAGGTATGTATGAAATTTTTGGAGAATAAAGCAGTTGATGATTGGTCCTTACCGAGACAAAAAAGAAAAAAAGACAGGGATAATTATAGTGACAAGAAAAGGGGGAAAATCCTTTACTCGGCAGTCTGGTTGAACCCATTAACCAGCTATGAAGAAAAATCTTAGCAGAACTATCAAATGCTTGAGACTTTTCTAAGATTCTCATCAGAAACTCCATTTATGATAAAACATATCCTAAGCTTTTGTGTAGCCCCAGTGACTCCTAGTTTTACTTTTATCAGAGTATAATCACATCCAAGGCACCATGCGAGACACTTTATAACCCATTTATCAAAAGACAGAGATGGGCAAGAGAAAAACACATCCTAATAACCTTTCCATATATAACTTGAGAACCACCAAAACATCAACAATCATAAGACACTTCATTTTCACTGTCTCATAAAGAGCCTATATTCGTAAGTGGATAGGTCTTACTTTTTTCACTAGGTAACTGTCTTTTTCTTGATTCTTATGTTTAAAATTTTTATTGAAATATCTTTAATAAATTTCCAACTCTGATTCAACCTGAAACTCTTATTCTACTAAAGTCTTGCATCCCAGTTTTGCTTACGTTGAGGTTCCTAAAACATTAAGGGAATGCCTCAGGCTGCTGAGGATGAGGGTATGGGAGGTGTGTCTCTGTGCCCATAGTCATTGACACCTAGTGACACTTGCCCTCACTAATTCCCAAGACAGATATTTGCCTCCTGTTGTGCCAGATAGAGACATGTGGGATTGAAAATGTCTGGAAACACTGCTGGTTGTTGTAGCTAGGTCTTTGGATGCTACTACCTTCTAATGAGTAGAGATCCTATGATGAAGTCCAACATCTACCAACACAAGGGGGAGCTCCCTGATCTTCAGCCCCTAAAATGATTATCCAGATCCACACACATGACTATTACTACTGTGACTGGTAAACTCTAGCCTAAAACACTTGAGTTCTCTTAGTGAAAATAACCAAATAAACAACTCACTAGGTTACAAGAAGTATCAATAAAAATAAAGATAGAGTCACAAAAGAGATGGCTAAATGTTTAAGAGTATTTTTTGCTCTTGCAGAGGACCTGGGTTTGGTTTCTAGAACCTGCATGATAGGTCACAGCCATCTTTACTCCAGTTACAGGGGATATAATACTTTTTTCTGACCTCTGAATGCACCAGGTATGCCCTTAGGGCAGATGAATGTAAACATGCTTGCAAACAAACACTTATACATAAAACGAGATAAATATAACCCCAAGGGGATATAATGGGATAAAATATAGCAGTATGTTAAATGAAGCAAAAATAAATTACCTTTGAAAGCTTTTTCATAGGGCACAACATTTCACTTAGCTAAGGAGAATAAATTTGGGAGACCTAGTGCACAAAACCGAGCATGCTGGACACAGTGTTTTGAAAGAGAATGACTCCATTTATGTTTGCCTACTTGGTCCCTATTCATGGAACTGTTTGAGAAGAGTTAGCAGGTATGACTTTGTTGGAAGAGGTGTATCACTAGTGGCAGGATTTGAGGTTTCGAGGACTTGTTTAATTTCTAGTGTACCTCTCTTTGTCTCCTATTTGTTGATCAAAATATAAGCTTTCAGATGTTCCTGCCACATGCCCTTGCTCCACCATCATGGACTCTTATCTTTAAAACTGTCAGCCCATTCTGTTAAAAGTTACTTTGATATCTTATCAGAGGAATACAAAAAAAAGCAGTGAAGACAAAAGTGAGTGAGTGGGCTATTGCCGTTAACAGGACTGAACATGCTGTCTCTGAGAGGAATCGAGACTTTGGACTAGGAAAGCAATTGAATGATATAAACAGTGCTTAATGGGGCATCCTAGTAGGAGCCTGGAAGATAGCACTGCTGAGAGACTGAGCTCAGGAAGTTACAAAGATATTAGAAATAGGCTAGAGACAACTCTTATGATGTCTTGGCCAAAAAATGTGGCTGCTTTCTGTCTGAGACTAAATTAAAAAGTCTTTCCTAGAAGGCAAAGACTTCAAGACAGCCTAATAGCTGTGTGGTTATTAGTAATCAGTCTTCCCAAGGGAAAAAAAAATGAGGCCAAAAGAAGAATAGTTCCAGGAAATTGAATGTTGCAGCCTATGCTTGCACTGTAAGAGATGAGGAGGTTAAAGAAAGGCCTGTTCCAAAACGGAATAAAGGGAGAGATGTCTTGAGGACAGGACTCCACTTAGCTAGGCTTTCACCCTAAAGGAAAGGCCTGAGG